ATATACTGACAGACATACTAACACACACACACTGACAGACAGACATGCTGACACACACAGATACATACACATACACTGTCAGACATACTAACACACACACACAGACACTGACAGACAGACATTCTGACACACACAAACACATACACTGACAGACATACTGACACACACACATACATTGACAGATAGACATACACACACACACACAGACACATACACTGACAGACATACATACACACACACAGACACTGGCAGAAAGACATGCTGACACACACACTCGTACATATACACTGACAGACATATTGACACACACACAGACACACACACAGACGCATACAATGACAGGCATACTGACACACACACAGACACTGACAGACAGACATGCTGACACACACAGATACATACACTGACAGACATGGTGACACACACACAGCCACAGACAGACATACACACACAGAGAGACACATACACTGACAGACAGACATGCTGACATACACAGACACTGACAGACAGTCATGCACAGACACAAAATGTACTCCTCCTCTCTGCCTCCTTGCTGTCTCCCACTCGGCTCTCTGGGGGAGGAAGTGACAGCCGCAAGTCACTTTCTCCCATAGAGAACAGAGAGCCGGACACCCGGTGGGCCTCCTTAGTGTGCCGTGGATCCAATCAAGGGCAGCAGTGCCCACAGGGCAGCTGCCTTTGGCCCCCCAGGAGTACCTGGGCCCGGGGCAGTTGCCCCGTTTTCCCGCATTAAAGACGGCCCTGATGTGGGTATACTTTTATTTTATTGTAGGGAGCTTGAGTTGTGTCTCCTCTAATTCAGTGCTCCTCAACCATCTCCTCAAGGCACACCTAACAGTCCAAGATTTAGGGATTACCCGGGTGTGTCTAAGGTGTTTGGAAAACAAAAAAGTAAAAGTGTTTTTCATTTTTTTCTTGTTAGGTGTGTCTTGAGGAGAGGGTTGAGGAGCACTGCTCTAATTGACTTTAAAATATTTGTTTCAATTCGAAAAAACTTACAACAAATAATTACATATCTTGGAATATTTGTGGATATGTGTTTCTGTTTAAGAACCTCATCACAATACCCTGCCCTTTACCCTCACTTACCAACATTCAGTGTGCACTCTGGAATGCCCGCCCCATCTGCAGTAATTTAAAATCAACAGCCATACACATTTTTTTCATTTCAAACTCACTCACACTACTTGTACTTACAGAGACCTGGCTGTCCCCCTCAGATAGTGCTACTCCTACCTCTTTATGTTTTGGAGGGCTACAACTCTCTCACACTCCTAGACTGTAAAGGAGGTGATGTAAGCAATGTACCTTTCAACCAATCATAACTCCACCTGCCCTATCCCTTTCTTCTTTTGAAGTTCAGACTGTCCGCCTATTTAAATCCACTCCTTTAAGAATTGCTATCATCTACCGCCCCTCCAGGTATCCTAGACTACACCCTGTTCCAAATTATTATGCAAATTCTATTTAAGTGTCACAAAGATTAAATATTTTGTTTTTCAGTTTAACTCATGGATGGCATTGTGTCTCAGGGCTCTTTTGATCACTGAAAACAATCTTGGACACCTGTGATAATTAGATTGCCAGGTGGGCCCAATTTAAGGAAAGGTGAAGTCATGTTTTGGGACGGAATCCTGGGAAGAGAGCTGGTCGGCCCCTTTAAGGTCCCCGAAGGTGTAAAGATGACCTCTGCAAATATGTGGAATTTCTGACTGACAACTTCCTTCCCTGGTACAGAAGGAAGAACTATGCTTTCCGTAATAAAATCATCTTCATGAATGATAATGCACCATCTCATGCTGCTAAGAATACCTCTGCATCAATGGCTGCTATGGGGATAAAAGGAGAGAAAGTCATGGTGTGGCCTCCATCCTCCCCTGACCTCAATCCTATTGAGAACCTTTGGAGCATCCTCAAGCAAAAGATCTATGAGGGTGGGAGGCAGTTTACATCCAAACAGCAGCTCTGGGAGGCTATTCTGACATCTTGCAAACAAATTCAAGCAGAAACTGTCCAAAAACTCACAAGTTCAATGGATGCAAGACTCGTGAAACTGCTATCAAATAAGGGGTCCTATGTTAAAATATAACGTGACCTGTTAAAATGTTTAAAAAGTTAAAATGTTATTATAAGTTTGATTGAAATAGCTTTTGATTTCAGTAAATATGCTGCAAACACAACATGATAATTTTCAGTTCTTTACAACCTATAAAGTGTTTTGAAACTTACTGTGCGTAATAATTTGGAACCGTGCATTGTAAGTTTTTTATGTTTTAAAAAAATATTAGGAGGTTTGTTCAATAAAATTTGAATTGTACTCTTAATAGTTGATAACATGAGAATTATGCTGACTGTTATTTAGATAAATGAGAAAAATATAATGTTCCAAATAATAATTTGGAACAGGGTGTATTCATTGAGCACTTTTCTTCCCGGCTTCCTGGCTTCCCCACTTCCTCTTATCTAGCACTCCTTCCCTTATACTTTAGGATTTCAATATCCCAATCAACAACCCCAGTTGCACTGATGCCTCTTGTCTTACGCAATGGCCTTACGCAATGGTCCAATTTAGCAACCCATACAGCGGGAAACACTCTTGATCTCACCTTCACCAATCTCTGTACCGCCTCTAATCTTTCCAATATTCCTCTTGTTCAGACACCACCGTCTGAACATCAATCTCACAGAAACCTCCAATGTCTTGACCTAGAGCGTTTCTCCACTAATCTCCGAACTCTCCTTTTACCTATCTCAAACCGCACCTGTCCTAGTGCTGCAACCTCCTTCTACAATTCCACCATCTCCTCTCAACTAGACATCATGACACCTCCTACATTTAAACGCAGAAGGCGCCCCCAACAACAACCTTGGCACACTAAGCTGACTCGATACCTCCAAAAATGCTCCAGAACTGCTGAACGCTATTAGTGAAAGTCTCACTGTGCATCTGACTTTCTCCACTATCAATTTATGCTGCGCTCATACAGCTTGGATCTTTCCTCTGCAAAAGTAAATTACTTCAATACCCTCATAACCACACTCTCCCACGAACCCAAATGACTATTTCACACATTTAACTCTCTTCTTCACCCTATCGTTCCGTCTCCACCTACTAACCTGACCGCCTCAGACTTTGCAACTCACTTCACTGACAAGATCGCTACAATCAGGGAAGAGATCTCTCATCTTTCTTCTTCCCCTTTGTCATACCTCCTCGCGACCCGCGCCGCTCCGGTCCCGCCGTCCATCCTGTTCGGCCGGGCTGTGCGGACCTCTGGCTGGCATCCGTTCGGGTGCGTGCTTCTGGGATCGCATGCTGTTGCCGACAGTGGCTTGTCCAGGGATCCTTAAAGAGACAGTACAATATTAAATAGCACTCTATTTATATACTGCCCTATTCTATCCCTAGCCTATCAGATATCACCAAGCCCTATTTACACCTCCTTCTTACATCACTTCCTTGCCCTGTCGTGGTTTCTTGTAGCCCGAGAGTGCGTTCTGTTAACTTGTCTTTCTTTGGTATCTGACTTCGGCTTGTTTTCTGGTTATCCGTATCTCTGGCTCCCTTGACCCTTGGCTTTGTTTACCACTTACTCTTCCTTCTCTTACCCTGACCTTGGCTTGTCTGACGTTTCTATTCTCTTCACGTTAAGTCCGGCCATTTAAAGGACCGGTAATACGTCTATCTGGGGTTGCCTCTCTTGTCCTTTAGTTTGTATGTTGGGGAGCTCAACCTTGACACCCTTACAATACTTCCTCTAACCTCACTCCCTCTGCTGTTCTGTGTTCTTTCGCACCTGCTACAGCAGAAGAGATTTCTGCTCTGCTCCAGTCCTCCCACCCCACCACCTGCTCTCTAGATTCAATTCCCTTGCATCTCATCCGTACTCTGTCTTCTTCTTTCTCCACCTCTCACTAAAATTCTCAATCTCTCTCTCTCCTCTGGCATATTTCCATCGCCATCAACATGCAACTATAACCCCAATTCTAAAGAAGCTCAACCTTGACCCTAACTCCCCATCCAACTACCATCCTATCTCGCTACTGCCTTTTGAATCCAAGATCCTTGAATGAGTTGTGTATGCAAGATTGACAGACTTCCTCGAATCTAAGATATTGCTCTCTCCTGGTGCTCCTCCTATCTCTCCCAGCACTCTTTCAGTGTTTCTTTCTCTGGCTCTGCTTCTTCTCCCCAACTCCTCTCTGTTAGTGTCCCCCAAGGTTCAGTCCTTGGTCCCCTACTGTTCTCTATCTATAACAAAACGGGGGGTTGAGTCAGCGCTAGTCAGAGAGGCAGCAGTCCCAAACAAGGATTCCCTCTGGTGTCCTTGGAATACAAATAGTAGGAGCAGAAAACAATGGGGGATGGGTCTGCGCCGATGTGTACACTGAGTGTTGAGTCCAATGTATATTGTCGTGTCCAAAGTTCTACTTTTGGTGGGGTTCAAAAGGTACGGTATCGTGGAGAGTAGTCCAAATAAAAGAAGTAGAAGAGATCTTACTTACAATTAACAGAGCTTAACCCAGCTCTGGTGTGGATAGCTCGCAGCGGTATTATCCCCGCTTACAGGATATTCGGCAAGTGTCCTCTTCTTTGTGGTAGCAGGTGGCCGTAGTTGGGGAAGATAAAATGAAGACAGTAATGGTGCAGTATGTTCTACACTGATAAAAAATATAATAAAATATGATTGATACACTCACATTTGGTAGAGCTTAGGCTAGCTCTAGTTGGTTAGGCGTACAGCGGTATCATCCCCACTTATGGGATATATGAGGAGTGATCTTGATCGGAGTATCAGGAGCTCGAAGAGAAGGTAAAACAGCGATAGTGCTCTCAATAAAATCTTGAATGGTAAAATAAAATAATAAAATATACTCACAGTGTATAGAGCAGGCTAACTGCTCTATGTAACAGCGTAGGTGGTATAATCCCCACCTGGGATTCTTGGAGTATGGTATACAGGAATTTGTTTTGGAAACCCAAGTTTTGCGGTTTCACAGCATCCACTGCAGAGTTTAAAGCTTTGAACTCTGCAGTGGATGCTGTGAAACCGCAAAACTTGGGTTTCCAAAACAAATTCCTGTATACCATACTCCAAGAATCCCAGGTGGGGATTATACCACCTACGCTGTTACATAGAGCAGTTAGCCTGCTCTATACACTGTGAGTATATTTTATTATTTTATTTTACCATTCAAGATTTTATTGAGAGCACTATCGCTGTTTTACCTTCTCTTCGAGCTCCTGATACTCCGATCAAGATCACTCCTCATATATCCCATAAGTGGGGATGATACCGCTGTACGCCTAACCAACTAGAGCTAGCCTAAGCTCTACCAAATGTGAGTGTATCAATCATATTTTATTATATTTTTTATCAGTGTAGAACATACTGCACCATTACTGTCTTCATTTTATCTTCCCCAACTACGGCCACCTGCTACCACAAAGAAGAGGACACTTGCCGAATATCCTGTAAGCGGGGATAATACCGCTGCGAGCTATCCACACCAGAGCTGGGTTAAGCTCTGTTAATTGTAAGTAAGATCTCTTCTACTTCTTTTATTTGGACTACTCTCCACGATACCGTACCTTTTGAACCCCACCAAAAGTAGAACTTTGGACACGACAATATACATTGGACTCAACACTCAGTGTACACATCGGCGCAGACCCATCCCCCATTTTTTTCTGTTCTCTATCTATACTGCCTCTCTTGGTAAACTCATTAGCTCCTTTGGCTTCCAATATCATTTCTATGCGGATGTCACACAAATCTACCTGTTCTCTCCTGATCTCTCCCCGTCCCTCTTGACTAGTGTCTCTGACTGCCTCTCTGCTATTTCTAACTGACTAAAACTCAACTTGACTAAAACTGAAATTCTAGTCTTTCCTCCCTCAAGTGTTGCTACTCCTGTGTCTGTCTCCCTCCAAGTCAACGGTGCTACCATCAACACCACCACGCAGGCTGTGGCACGCCTAGGTGTTCTTTTTGACTCCGACCTCTCATTCACACCTTATGCTCAGACTATCACCAAATCCTGTCGTTTCTATCTCAAAAACATTGCGTGCATCCGACCCTACTTAACGCGAGATGCACTAAGGTGCTGGTCCATTCCATTGTCCTTTCTCACCTTGACTACTGTAATCCACTTCTCATTGGTCTTACGTGTTCCCAGCTTGCGCCATTATAGTCCACAATGACTGCGGCAGCGATGCTCATCTTTCTGTCCGCCCACACCTCCCGCGCCTCACCCTTCTGTCAGTCCCTACTTCAGTTTCCTGTAAGACATAGGGCTCAATTTATTCTGGTTCTTGCTTTCAAATGTCTTCATAATGCTGCTCCCACCTATCTATCCTCACTAATACACAAGTATGTCCCATCCAGGCCCTTACGTTCTGCTGAAGACTTACGTCTATCTTCTGTCCGTACTCCCATCTCTGATGTTCGCCTTCAAGACTTCTCCAGGGCTGCACCGTTCCTGTGGCACTCACTACCCTCCTCCATTAGATGATCACCCAGTCTGCACTCCTTCCAAAAACATTAAAAACCCACTTCTTCATAAAAGCCAATCAATTAAACTGTTAATAGCTCCTGACTGATTCCTCTCTTGCAACTGTCATTAGTCTAATACTATCCTTACCTTTTGTGTCACTTTACCCCACCCTCTAGCATGTAAACTCATTGAGCAGAGCCCTCAACCTCTCTGTTCCTATGTGTCCAACTTTTCTGGTTAGAACTACATGTAGTTCGTCCACCAACTGTAAAGCGCTGCGGAATTTGTTGGTGCTATATAAATCATAACACAATAATAATGAGAAGTAGAATCCTGTGCCAGCTATCTAGGAGTGGACAGAAGGAACGGACAGAAGGTTTCTCTTTTTATATTCAAACTGGCAAAGAATTTTCCAAGAGAATTTCTTCTGGAATATTTCTTAGTTTCAAATTATTTTGACAGGTTCTATCCTCTAAATCTGCTTGTTTCTGTTCTATCTGTGTAATTTGAGACTTCAACTGTTGTAGCTCAGCTTGAGTTTGCTTCAGGACTTGATCCACATTTTTTATTTTCTCAGTCTGTTCATTTAATTTGTTATTCATAATACTTAAGTTTAGATTTTTCAGAGAAACATAGGATTTTGCTTTTAATCTTTTCGAATTGAGATTCTAGACTGCTGTTTAGTAAAGCTACTGTCACCCCGCTCATTTAATTTAGTATAGTGGGGGAGAAGAAGGATAGGCATTTTTCTAAAGGTTCATTTTTATTTTCAGTATTCTTTTTTGTATTTTTGTTTTCTTGGGTTTTCTTGCTAGCCATTTTATAGCAGGGAGGTATCATTAGAAAATATGAAGAGGCTTATTGTTTAGTCTTAAAGGGTCTTGATTGGTCAAGAGAGGGGAATGAGTGTTCGAAATAATGTTCTTTCCATTTAAATTTTTTATATATAGGTTTTTCTTATTTACTTTCTTTTCTTTTCCCTTCCTTTTCTCTCTCTTTTTCCTTTTACCCCTCTCTTTTTATCATTCTTTATTCTTTCTTTGCCTTCTTCTGGTTTTCTTTTACTTTTTATATATTACTCCTTTTTTCCCTCTAATTTCTCTTCTTATGTCCTTTTATCCTTTAATTTTGTAGTTTATATTTAAACAGAGTATTTTCTTCACAATCTACTTTCTTTTTCCTCTATTCTCCCTCCCATTTGAGGTTGTCACAGATTTTACACTTTCCCTTTTATACTTTTAGTCTCAGCGGCTCTCTGAGACTTTGTGCATTTTGAATATTTATTTTTACACAGATTTAATAAATTTTGAGCACAGTTTATAATGTGTCTTTGGCACACTCACATGACCTTGAATAGCCTTGTCAGGATATTTTGCCCATCAGGGCTCTGCTGGCTCAGAAGACAGAGGACCATTTCCCAGCACACAAATCCTGCACCCGTCGAGTCCCACTAGTCTCACCAGTTCAGGAACAGTTCTTCCCCCTCTCTCGTGGTAAGCACTCTCTTGTAGCCTCTCTAAGCACCTACATTTCATCTGTTATCATCAATGGTGCTGAGTTTGACTGACATTCTGGTCTCAGCATAGCATAACTCCCCAGACTACACG